TATATGGAGCTATTCCATTTATTTTTCTTTAATTTTTATTGGAGATAAAGCAGATGTTCTTTTGAATCGTTGTTCGTGACTTTCTTCGCTGGAATATTATTACATGTCTATAATTACCGAGAGTATACGTAACTAGGTAGATAGAGTCACATGCTCTTTCAACAATGAACCTCAAAATATGGGCCTCTATGAAGCACAATTTTAATCAATGAAACTTCAGAAGCTCAAGTAATTTGGGGTGCTGGATGCGAATATGACCTTCAAAATACCGCGGAGTGCCACGAGGACGAGTTTGAGTCGCTTGGGACTTGCCTGGGACCATTAGTAGGTTCTACGGTAGAAATGTCGTCTAATTAGAAATTTACGCACCTGATCTTTTTTTATATACCATGCTTGAGCACAGCGGCTGCTACAAGGTGCTTAAGACATTTTGTTAATCCGATATTTGAAACGCCTAAAGATGGTATAACTTTGAAAAAGCCTTCTTAGGTAGATCCTTCCACAATATCGATACCCTAGGGACAATGGAGCGATCGTATCGGTCATCTGGATGTACGAAGTTCGACTCGGTTGGGATGGGAAGCCGAAGTCAGGCGGGTTTGTCTAGCAGCATCATGGAAGAGAGCTCTGAAGAGCACAGCCCGTTGGCATAAGGACAGAAGAGAGCTAGATTGCCAACGGCTTGTTTGTTGGTGCGAAAGGGTCACGAGACTGTCTGTTAGAGAAAAGTTGTAGACCAGTATCGAGCATGGATAATATAGTCGGGGCGGTAGCACATTTTCTGACAAGAAAACTCGTACCAGCATCAAAATAACGTTGAATTTTTAATCTATGAATTATTATTACCTAAGAACAGATATCCCAAAAATATAGGGGTTTTTGAAAGTCTCGCAGGAGACCTTAATATATAGAATTTTTAAATGTTTAAGGCAGTATTTCCAAGAAAATGAACTTTGAATGATTTGGGCGCTGACTCCGATTCTAAGAATGGAGTAAACGATTTTGAATGGGTAACATTGCACCAACCTAAGTTTCTGATCCTAATTGATTTCAGATTCCGAATTTAGGCGATTTGTGCCAAGGAACTAGTCATTCTCCAGATGACCAATACGGAGGTTTTTTTTTGGAATATTCTCATAGACAACCTCATGTGGGACGGATCCATAACCTCAAAGTGCAGCCGATTCACATAATAAAAAAAACTTCATCCGGGCACGTGTTTGAAAGTTATCCTGATTTTTTAACCCCTGGACACATGCCTCGTTCTTACTTTGTATAAAACAAACTTCTAATTGCGTCGAAAATAACCCTAATTTTCTTTATTAAAGATGACATACAGTAATGGACAAAAGTATATAGACAAATATGAATATTTACCTAAATACCTTTAGAAAACGAATTCATACTTCATTGCTCCATAAACAAATGCGTTATTAGTAGAAAAACTAAATTCCTTGTTTTTACATTATCTGCAATGAACACAATACAAGTCTGAATATAAGCACTTTTTTATGAGGGACAAAAATATGTAGACAAATTCCTTTCAACATCAGTTTAGTACAGTTTCGTGTCAGAAGAGCATTAGTTTGTGTTCATCAAGCATTGTGGAATAAGTTGAGTGATTTTAAGACCATGCCGCGTGGTCCAGAAATTTCTTTCGATGTGAAAACTAAGGCCCGTATCGTCAGTCGTCCCTACAATTGTAGGGCGCGTTTATGGCCTCCTTGATTGTCATACTCCTTTCTCTCCTTCAAAAATTTCTAGATTACACTTGTCCCGTGTCAGCGTCAGCGCTCTCCTATTGTGAAGATATGTTTTCTTTTTAACTTGTAGGAAATTTCAGGCTGATAAAACATGATATAACTCAAAAGCAAGCACAATTTGATGCAAATAGATGTTTGTGACATAACCTCAAAATAGAGTTCTGACACGGAGAAGTAGAAAACTATGACAATCAAGGAGGCCATAAAGGCGCCCTACAATTGTAGGGACGACTGACGATACGGGCCTAAGATCATTGAGTTATATAGTACAAAGATGGTCAACGTCAAGTCGACATTGCCAAAAATTTGAAGCTGAAGCGTAAGGCAGTTTGGGCAATATTGAACTCATATAAACAAAGAGGTATCTTGGAAGCCTCTAAGAGAAGTTATTTGCACGTCGCCCGAGTAAGAAGCCGCTAATCTCGAAGAAAAACCGTAAGGACCGATTACAATTTGCACGGTTGCATCTTGATTGGAGCATCTGTGACTAGAAGAGGGTATGTTTCAGTGACGGATCCAAGTTCAATATGTTTGGATCAGATGGTGTTCATTACGTTAGACGTCCTAGTGGACAAAGATTGAACCCCAAGTACACTTTGCCCACTGTCAAACATGGAGGCGGGTCTGTTATGGTTTGGGGGTGCTTTTCGTGGTTTGGGATGGGACCTTTGCATAGAATAGATGGCATTATGAATAAGTTTGTATACACAGACATACTAAAGCATGTCATGTTACCCTATATGGAAGACAATATGCCCTTAAGATCAATCTTCCAGCAAGATAATGACTCTAAGAACACTTCAAATCTCGCAAAGAAATTCTTTCTGGATGAAAAAATACCAGTTCCCAAATGGCCTTCACAGTCTCCCTATATAAGCCCCATTGAAAATCTATGGGAATACTTAGATAAGCAAATACGAGATAAAGATTATTCAAACAAGGATGAACTTTTTGCCGCTTTAGAGCAAAAGTGGAGACAGATTGATGAATCTTATATCAAGAAACTTCTACAATCTATGCCGAGACGATGCCTGGCGGTGATTGATAATAATGGTTATGCTACAAAATATTAACACAAACATGGTTGGTTTTCTATAATTCAGTGAGCTTTGCTTCTTTTTTCTATAATTGTTTTGCTTTGTCTATATATTTTTGTCCTTTATAGTTCCAGTTTTTTCAAATAATTTTTTATTGAATGGAGTCTAATGAATTTATTTATGCTATAACGAATTATTTATACAGGTTGGTGTATTAATAAAACAAGTTGAAAAAGAAATACAGCACAAATATTAATTTGTCTATATACTTTTGTCCATTACTGTATGTAAAAGAAACGGCAATATTTTTCACAAATAAATGTGCTTTCAGTGGCTCAATTTACATTTTGAAACTGAATAAAGACATTGCTAGAAAATTATTGTTTTCTGTAACATGTTCACTATAAAACATCGTTATAAATTGAGTATCATTTTGGGGAAGTAGTTTTCAAGCGATTGCATTTCCTCATAAAAGTCAACACTAAACATTGCCACAACATTTTTTCCTCCAAAAATTACGACTGTTATTTTAGGGTCTATTAAATTCGACGCTATAAATTTAACACGTTTAAACATCTGTAAGGCATTTCCTCTAGTCGTGACAACCGAAACACCCAGAAAAATTAATAATAAGAGATTACTTCCCACACGATCTATTTCAGACAACCATTATATATAATTATATGTGTTTGTCGAAAATAAACGGGATATCACAGCCCACAGTGCAACGGTGCATCTTTATTTAAAGTGGTTTGGCCTAGATACGATATCTTCATTCATCGTCAAGATAATAACAGTCATTTAAAATAAAGATTTATCCACCGTTTGCTATTTTTGATAATGGTGTGGGCCAAAACTGTATATCAGTTTGTTGATAGGACGATAATATCATCATATTGAGTAAAACGGACTGCAAAAGGTGATAATTCTTCTTACGACTGTTATGTTAACTTGTTAAAAAGGTTATCTCTAGAAATTGACATCAAAAGATTTTATTATGAAATGACCAGACTTGGGTAGTATTCAAATACGCAGTATTTGAATATTCAGAATATATTTAGTTGGTATTCAAATACTATTCGAATTCATTTGAGTTTGGTATTTGGTAGTCGACTGAATTCTTTTTTGGTCGATACTTGGTATTCGGGAGTCTGAATACCGCTTCTGAATACCAATATTCGAAAACCCACTTTGTATTCAAATACCGGTATTCGAATCCTGTTTGGCTATTCTTACAAATATATATTATTTTGTTTGTGTGGGTGGTACTGCTTCTGAATTCGTGATAACAACACGTTTTTCAAGGAACGAGATTAGCTTATGTATGCAGTTGCCATTCTATTTTATAATAAATTTTAAAACCTGTTATTATTTGTGTGTGATACCTCATAACGTAGTTATATAAGAAGGTAAGTTTATTTTTGAATTATGTAGGTACATTGTGTAAGACTCATATATTTTCTTATTAAGTTTTATTATATCAATGTTCTATAAAAATCGAATCAAAATAAAATATTTTATAAATATTAAACAATTAATTTGTGTAACCTACCTTTAGTTATTTTATTTAATATACTCATATATTTTCAATATTTTCTTTATATATTTTTTATAACTTAAGTATATATAATAAAAATCCAGTTTAAAGTGCGCGCATGTTTTTTTTTTAGTTGGGACATTCAAAAAGTATTAATATTTAAATAATTCCAGGTATTCAAATACGTTTTCTTTGTATTTGAATACAGTTTAAAATACAATATTCTGGATTCATATTCGAACACCGGACTTCATTATGTAACACAAGTCTGGATGGTAATGTCATTTTGAGTTGACTGCAAACAATGAGGGGACTTCCCAAAATATCCTCAACTTTGCAAGTCACACGACTGGTATTTTAATTATTTAAAAAGTTAATTCAGAAGCCATAACTGGTTAAAAAGGTTCTTTTTAAAATATGATTTAAAAGTGATTTTCATTTGACTTCCTTGATACCTATTACTGACCATTTTTCAAAAGTCCAAAGTTTTCGGAAAATGGAATGGTTTTGGCAACCTTTCCTGGATATAATTTCATTACGTGGGAACTTGATAACGTAAGTACTCTTTCTATTGAAATCCGTTTGAGCCCAAATGACGATACGTTGGTTATTCCTCAACGAATCATACACGTGTGACGTCATATGAAATGAAGGTGTACTTACGACTGCTTGAACTTGACCTGGTACCAAGGGCTGTCCAGGCGTAAGTCCCATCTGCTGCATAAGCGCGTTCTTGAGTGCTAGGTGATTTCGACCGTTGATCAACAACTGGTCTTTCAGGTGTTGGGGCGGGTGAAAGTACTTGCACGGAGGTTTTTCCCTATTACAACGACCCTGGAATGGAAAAAGTACGATGTTAGTATGTGACTTCAATTTGCATAAAGAACTAGGCAACTCTGACTGTCTTATAGTTTTTTTTTCTACACTAATTATGATGATATTCTATTATGATACAATGATATAATTGTGTGCTATCAAATGAGATGGAGTTTGGTCAATTCGATGTCAGCCAAATTCCTATTTCTATATATATATATATATATATATATGTAGGTATCTTCTTTTAATACCAAGCATTTCTTTTGTTAAATCAAGGGTTACTATATTTTGATTGTTTTTTAACACTTATGTGCTTGTAATTGTACAAATACAAAGTGTGAATTGATCTATTTTGAATCTGTTCATTTAAGGCTCAACTATTTTTTCTTACAAAAGCACTTTAATCACTATTGAGCTTCAGCGTTTTGGAGTGCTCTACAGATAGAACAAACATATCTTTTTGGCTCAATATATGTGAAATACACGTAACTGTGACTATTAGTAATAAAATGAGAAATATTATAGATCAGAATCATAACACTACAATGATTTGCTAAAGTTGCCTAGTGATCTTCATACATTTCCTCTGAGTTTGTTAAAAAATATTTTAAATAGTTTATCTCAGTACTTTAAATTCGTAATTAATAAATAACAATACCATATGAAAAAATTGAAACAATGTTCAAAAATAATTCCCCTCATAGTATATAAAATAATATGATAACACATATCATACCTTGTCCACGTATATTTATCAAAATCCAAAGAGCCTACGGTATTTTTTTATCACTTTGCAATCACTATAATCTGTAATAAAAATGAGATAAAAAAATAAAATGATACAAGCATCAACTTTAAAAGCGCCCTGTAAAAAATGTATTACACATTCAAAAAATAGATTGGGATACAAGCATCAACTTTTTCTGTCACCCTGTATGTAATCTTCAAAGCAAAGTAGCCAAATGACTATAAAATACAAGCATCAACTTTCGTATAAACCTGTGTATAAGCTTCCAGTATACAAGCATCAACTATTTCATAGCCCAAAAAACAGTAAGAAAAATATTTTATCGAACGTTTAGGAAGCATAAAATTGTCTGTAGATGTTGCGTTTAACTTAAGGATATCTGTTTGTTGAGCTATTAAAAACTGTAAAGCGTTTCATTAAGGTACACCAGCATCAACTTTTTTGAGCGCAATAAGGTAATTATTTGGTCTGTATACTCCTATAAGCATTATCAGTGTTATCTTCTATCAAACAAGCTGTAATGTTTGAAAAGGTAAAAGTAATAACTCGTGTACGATATACAAGCATCAGCTTTTCATTGTATTGAATACCCTTGAAAATAAACTCCCAGCACCAGGTACTGGGAATTAGTATAATCAAAACCTGCAAGTAAAAAGAAAATAAACACGACGACCCGAATATACAAGCATCAGCAAAATCAGGTACGCATAAAAATAAGTTATCAAAAATGTATGTAAATTATTTCGCATAATACAAGCATCAACATAACCACCCCTAAAAAAATGAAAAAAAAAAAATAAAAACCTGCAATAGAAATATGATTAGCCAAGGATCAAAGGAATAGGGGAGGGAATAAAAAAGACTCATAGTTTTCCACTTTATTAGTAAAAATTGCATGTACTTTGATAGTGTTCGGTGCAAAACGGGACGCGTCATAACGAATAGAGAAGAAGTGAATAACGATCTGATTCAGATGGTGGTCTACTTCATTTTTAACTATGAAATAAAACCTGTAAAACGATGTCATGTTTATGAGCAGCTTGATAATGATTGAACTAAAAAAGAACTTACGTCAGTCATGTATTTCTTATCCGCACATGTAATGTGGTACTTAAAGAGGATAGCATTTTAAAGTCGCTATTAACTAGAAATAACATTACCTAACAACTATCGCAACATAATAGGCAAGTGTATACCAAACAATTGTTTAGATAGATTGCATAATAACCAACTTGCCCACAATAAAATGGCTTACTGAAGCCTTGGGGAGCATAACACTTTCTTGGAACCTTTTTTACAAAATAAAATAATGTAGGCAATATTTAGCTACTGAGACAGGAGCCTGTCTAACTGATTCTAGGTTAATTGCTCTGAAAATAGTTCACTGTGGTGATTTAGTCGAAGTAATTATAATATTAGTCGTTTAAGAGGTCCTAAGCAATTCTGAAAAAGTAACAAGAGGTAAGATAAAAATAAAGAACGACTTTGGGCACGTTTATCGTGTTATGTACATTTTTTTAAGATTGAATTGTGATTTAATCGTTACCAAACACATCATGGTAGTATCCTACAGTTTCTGAGCTCCAACAAAGGAGTTCTAAGTGTTCATAATGGTATAAAGCAATAGTGCCATACCAGGAGTTGGTGATTTGAGAAAAGTGTAGTATGGAGATTTAACAGAAATGGGATGCTAATTTGGATGGCGCATACAAGTTTTAGCAAAGCAGTTATAAGTACTTGCTTGATCAGTTTGCATTCCTTCAAGTCCAATGTAACTATATATTATATAAAAAAGGGGTAGGGGAGCCCATTTGTTATTTCTTAATTATGCACATCCCCTCTTTGCACCCTATTCTTACAACAATCTCATTAGATATTCGAACGCGGTTTGAATGTCTCTTGTCAGATACTGTACTGTATTTTTATAACTTCAGAAACTTATTGTGTCTCTTTTATCTCTATGCCTTGAGCTTGCCTATAAGTTAAGCCCCATGATATAATGAATAATTTCTTTATAATAAGTAGTTTATTCACCATATATGCACTCATTTATTGCCTAGGATGAAAGAGATGTATGTACATGTATATTTATAAAAATGGCCTATTTAATACAATATGACTGGATTAACTACGACTCATAAACATGACATCATCCTAGCGTGAATCACTAGCGTTACGCTCGAATTGGTATTTCATGGTTCAGAAACACATTTTTCACTGGGGAGACTAAACACAGTCAATAAAAATATGTAGAGATCGTTATTAATCCAAACCGTGAACATTTGAGAGGCGTTGGTTGGGGTCTGTGTTACCTTGAAAACGTGTTTGACCATAGAGTAGAAACTGCGCCCGACGGATAGGTTTAGGTGCGACAGATGTTTTTACTAAAATATAGTCTATTTACGGCCCGACTAAAGAACGGCATGCCCATGTATGTGTTTCGCATTTTAGTGGTTACTTCATTCTTCAAGGCAAGTAATCATCAAGTGTTCTTTTAGGACAACTTCGTCAATTTAGCCAGGAGTTTTAGTATAAGTAACAGCAAATATTTCGGGTTTCAGGAAGAGATGGATATTACTTTTCATGCTATTATTACACATACGTACCATATCGATACTCTTCTGCTGATCCCAAATAAGCAACTCTTCTGATATTTTGTATTAGCATTACTTTGAAATGGAAAAACTTGACAGGTAATGGCAGTGACATTGAGCACGGATCGACAAGTGCTAGAGTGGTTGATTTTTAATGTTTGGTTAGAAGCATAAATGTTACCAAGAAATGGATACATGCTCACAGAATGTTTTTGCCTTGGTTTCTGCTTCAAAAAAGTAATGGGTTAAAAAAGGATTTGGCAACTTTTCTCGATTCCGCAATAATTCCATGAGGTAGCAAGCTTCTGAATAAAGTTTGGAAAAAATCAGAATCGCCATTGTTTCATGGGTACATGATGATAAAGAGATCCGAGATCTGAAATTCTGGTATTCAATTATAAGCTATAATATCGTTTACTGAACTACCCGTCAACTGGGTAGAGTCTTATAATTAAACGAATATTTTTAACTACTGGGTTTTGCTGTCTAATTGGGAGCGTTGAATAAAACACCTTCATGAACTGTTCCTTTACCAATCAACTCTTATACAATCAACCATGACTCGAATTTCCTCGAAAAGGTCGTAATAACGGCTGTGGTACTTATGAAACAATGCAGTGAGGCTTAAAACTCGAAAAGTTCCTCTATTTTAATTTGTGTTTGTCTAATTTTTGTCATTTGGTTAACAATAAAACTCATATACTAATAGCTCAATCAATTAAACGTTTTGTTTTTGACTGGGGAATTAAGGGGGCTCACAAAGCTGATGTGCTTGAGCGCCGCCACTGTTACTAGTAAACCACACGAGACTGAAAATTAAAATAGCCTTGAAACCCTTTTTCGTGGTATCCCGATTGCCGATAACCGTATCTACTTTTATCCACACACACAGCCACATACAAAAAATCAAATCAGACCGTATCAATTTCACCGAATCGCGACCTTGATTGCACCAGCTAAAAATGGAAATTTTCCTCGACAAAATGGCAACGTCGCGGAGGTTTGTTCGCCTGCCACATGGCCGTTTTCACACCTAACCTCACGAATCTACGTGGTCAAACACGCAATCGAAGTGACACAGACGTCAAATGGAAACGCTCCCTGCACTTTTTCGGCCACAGACACAAAGAAAAGCCACCCGTTTCGCGTTTCACAAGCGGCCACGTCGACGTGAAAAGCACTGAACGAGACGCGATCCGATTTGCACCGAACCATGGACGACGGCAAACTGGAATTTGCTTTCAGTTCGAGTCGGCGAGGGAGCGCGTACTCGGCGGACCGACCGGTTGTCTCTCCCCACTTGACTGCGCAACAGCGGCGTCGCATCGAATTGGGCAACGGGTTTATAATGATGAAAAAATGCGTGTAAATGAAAGAAATGGGACTGAAAATGAGCACAAATATGAAATTTCTGAAATATTTTACTATACAATAGGTTTTTATTGAACGCTTGTTTTCAGAGCTTGTGCGATGTTGCCAGATTTCATTACTTCATAGGTTTTCGTGTTGACGGATATTTTTAATAACCAAATTTGTATGTATGACTTCGAACTCCACGCTACATAACGGAAAACGCTTCAACTATTCAAGTTGAAAGAGGTTCTACAGTAAAAGGAGAGCTGGTACACCTGGAAATGCGTATTTTCGTTAATTTTCTTATTTCTTCAATAATGGCTACGCTGCGGTATGTATAGGATCCGTCTTATTCTCAATTGTCATGATTGAGAAGGTGTTTATTTATACCTTTTAAAACCATTTGCGGGTATTTTTAATAAAATTTCCATCACTGACAACCCAAACCTAGTGTATATTCGGACAGAGAAAAAAAAGGCTGGCATTAGCCATTACCTGTTTTTTTATTTGTGCAAATAACTCACTATCTCGACCAATAACTAGATATTGTGCATAAGGGCATCGTTCACCTTTCTTTGTAAGAGCTCTGTGCCTCAATATTGGGAAACTAAACCATCCTAAATGCCCAAAGTCGCAGGATATGATTTAGAAATAACGCATCAAGAAATCCGAAGAGGAGCTCTTTTAAAACGCGCGATCTTGTCGTACAACGTTGTATCACCAACCAAATCGCGAGTATAAATGTGTCAAAAAAAAAACCAAGAGTAACAGAATCTGAAAAAACCTCGCCTCAGGACTGTCAGGAACAGATTGGGGCGTATCATTTTTGTATTCTTGAACCACCACGAGTGCTTAAGGTCTACATACCCGTGGGTACCGTGGGGCTGTATGGAGATACAGGGGAAATGTGAGACATCACACAGACTGTAGCGAGTGTACGCACACATTCTGGCCTTGCCTTAGAGATCCGCCGGGTGGTACCTCCACGTTCGACGCCGTGAGCCCGCCAACCAGCCACGGACAATCACATCCACATCCATAGCCAAAAGGACAATTCTCTTAAGGAGAGATTCGAACCCGCGCAACTCACGGCGACCAAACTAGTGGATTGCAGCGTCTACTACTATGCCTCAGTGCCCTGCTATGCTCAAAATCATACTCAAAGGCGACGTCAATGGAACAATATTGTGCAGCACTATTCCGAAAGCTCACGATTATCATTTTAATCCACCTCGTCGAAGTAACAAGTATAAGAATAATTCATCACTTACCATTGCACGGAAAAGTTGAACATAAGAAGGACTTCTGTGAACAATTTCGCGCGTGACACTGCTTCGAAGATTCCTTTACATATTCATTCTATTGAGTATCACAATACGACAGGAGACTTGCCACCATATCAAACGAGGAGCTTAATGGAATTAGATCATTTATGAATCTCGGACTAATTATAATTTGAAAGAAGAAGAAAATTCATCTTACACCTCTATTAGCGCAGCGTGTCTTTGATCGGCAATGCGTGGCGTACGACGTGTCATTGTATTCTCTGCCGTTTTGGTACCCGAGTATAGTAAGCACACGTATTCCAGATTGAACCTAGTATGTGGCAAGATCAAAATTTAAATAGCACCGCATACCGTGTAGCCTCACTTGCTACGTCACTGGTCACCCCTTGGAATATCTACATCCGGTTTCGACCGCTCGCGTTTGCGAAGCTGGCGTTCGGGGTTCATTGTGTGACGGAGCAGCCAGCCAATACTTTTTGTTGCCAAAACTCCTTCAAGGTCTCTGCAGATATGCGAGTCACTGATAAACCTAAGAACAAAGCGTCTTGTTTGATGTAGTCCAAGATATTTACTGGAACAAAAGGAAAAAGAACAAAATAAATAGTAGGTAGTTATTGGTTACCTTCAGGAGTCAAGTGCAAGTGCAAGATTTCCCGTACAAAATACTATATACCTGTTATCTTTTTTAGAGGATTTTTTGCCGCATGAGGTTCTGTACCTTTAGTGGGTGGTAATTAGACACCCAAAAAGTCTAAGCAAGTTCATAAAAGGGCAATATTTCAATTGCAATATATGCACCCCTACTACAAAAGTGACACAACTCGAAAAACCATGTTTTTGGCAAAGTGAAGAAAACTTTTCTAGACTCTAAATATTTTTTTTCAAATATATTTATTCGGATAAATAATACGAGTTCTAGAAAGACTACATCATATTCTCCATTCTAGGCTGGTATGCTTTAAACAAGCACTGGT